ACACACACACACACACACACACACACACACACACACACACACATGCGTTGAGTGCATGTTTCTTCAACCTAAATTAATTTTAATAGAGGCCTCAGCAGCCTCTATTCCTCAGGTTCGAAGCTTTTCTAAGATATTTTTCTCAATTTCAAAGATACTCCACAAACTCGACAGGAGATTTTGTGAGCTGTTCAAGCGCTTTGGTTTCCACAAAGGAAGACATTTCAAAACTCTTGTTCCGTTCTGTAATTTAAAAAGAAAAAAGTCACAATTTTTAAAATTAAGATTATGCTTTATGTTGCTCAACATAAATCAATCCCCCCTCCATCACACCAAAGCTTTATCTTGTTCATGGTTCAGTTCTCAAAGAGGTCAACTAGAAACCCAAGAATCCCTGTAATTAGGCGAAAAAAATGTAGTAGTTTATACTCTGGCAGAAGGAGTCCATACACTTCAGATATTGAAGACATTAGACATGTGTAGTTTTCAGTACACATTTTTATCTATCTCCCCACCATTTTAAATTGGTTTTTAATAATATGACTGGGGCAAAACTTACAGGCAGCTATCATCTAGATCTGTAGTATTCAAATCATGTTCCCTGGAGGTCCAGGGTTTCACAGACTCATCCAGAGGTTCAACATGACTATATGAAGCTACAGCGAAGCTATGCAGTCTTTATTCCTTTGTTTTATTTCAAAAAAGGATTGTCTGTGACAATATATTACATAAATATGATTTGCTACTGCACTGCACTGATTTTTTCCACATTGAGAAGGGTCCCTCAGGTAACTCAAGTCTGAAGGCCACTGACTAGACCAATGGTTTGCTTATTTTCAAACTGTCCGCATACTGTTTAAACAACAGGAAAATGGAGGTCAGACTAATTACACCATGCTCCAAATGATGCCTATGAAAGTTTAATCACTAGACATTTGGAAAGTAAAATAGGCTGTAGAAAATATTGCTATCAACTGAACTGCAAAAGTTGATTTAAAAAAAAACAGTAGTCCTGATTAAAACCTTATAAAATGATCCACTTGACATGATTTAGTTTGCAAGAAATGGCACAAAAAACACCATAACGACCAAAGGACTAGAACAGATTTATGCTTATTACAGCTCCCTCCTCCCCAAAAGTGCTAATGAATGCTAAAAATAGGGAACAATGGCATTTATGTCAGACAGATAATAGGTAGATAATATCAAAACTTTGTAATCCAGAATTCAATAATACATGGGATAATTTCATGTATGAGAATTGATAGATGTATATTTTGTGGGAATATATTTTTGTTTTACTATTAAAGAGTGCAGAGCTGGTGAATTTTACAAAACTCAGATTAACGCACACCCTAGTCACTTCTTATCTTGACTACTGCAGCATACCTAGGGCTGCCCTTGAAAAGTATCTGGAAGCTCCAATTGGATGAAAAGGCATTGGCCTGCTTGGTTTTTTTCTAGAAGCAGATGTACACATGTAACCTCTTCTGCAGGAGCTGCATTGGCTGCCAATTTCTTTCTGGGTACAATTTCAGGTACTGGTTGTTACCTTTAAAGCCCTATGTGACTTGGGACCAAGTTGTCTAAAGGATAATCTCTTCCTGGTTACATCCACCTGATCCACAAGAGCAAGGAGGCAGGGAATGTTGCCAGCCCATTCTCCTAAAGAGGTACATCTGGCGGAACCCAGAAGATGGACCTTCTCCGTGGTGGCTCCCTCCCTTTGGAACATCATCCCCACAGGGATTAGACTATCTTCCATTCTGATACTCTCTTGCAAGGCCTGAAGACCTAGTTTTGCCAATGGAGTTGGAGAATCCAAAATGGGTTGAAGCCCATCAAATGATTTGTTTGTTTGATTGATTGTTGTCATGGGGGTGTTTAGAGTTATTGTTTTTACTGTTTATCAGATTTTGATTTTCTGTAAGTCATCCAGAGTCACTAAGAGTGAGTGGACAGTCATATAAATTCTCTAAATAAGTAAATAAAACAAAAGATAAAGATAATATGAGGCTGTCACACTGATTACAACTACAGAGTGCCATTTGAGACAAAAGTATGAAGGGCACAGTAACAGAAAACAAATTTGGGGTGGGTGGACGAAGTTTGCCTTTACTCTTTCCCTTGCAATTGACCCACTTTCATTTTGGGATTACAATATTCTAATAGCAACCACTAGGAAAATAGAAGAAAAAAAACTGAGGTGAGGAGAGGATCACTAGAACAACCTGCAGAGGGAGGAATTACACCAGATTTACTTCAAAAAATGTTCAAGGAATTCAGCAGTAGGTTAGCTAATATTGATATTAAATTGATGGCTTTCAAAAAAAGAATGGGTCAAAGAATGTAAAGATGAAAGAGGAGGAAAAGGTAGAAGTTAAAAAGGTGGGAAGCTGTGTAAAACAAAGTGTCGTGAGATGTAAAAAAATAATGAAATTCTGGAGAATAAGAAGTCGTAAACAGTAATCTCTTTCCAAGAGAACTAGATAATTTGGCTGTAATAGAATTAAGAGAGAAGGCATTTTCTTTGAGATTTAGAGCAATCCCAGGGGATTCTGATGAAGATATTAAGAGAAAATGTAATTAAAGCTTTAGGAAAACTCCTTATGAACATTTTGTGTAAAATTAGCACAAAATGAATTTATGATTTATGATTTAGATGATTAGACAGGATAGGATATAGAAAGAAGAGAATTGTAATCTTAGAATCAATTTATAATTGTACTTATAACTGCTGTAAAGAAGATTGGAAGCCACTTCATATTTTGTGTGTGTTTCTTTTCCTTTTTCCTTTTCCTTTTTTAATATTTCTTGCCCTTTTAGCTTTTTCTGATTTCTTTATTTTTCTTTTCTTCTACTTACGTTATATTTATTTATTAAGAAAATGTATATGGCCATCCAACTCACTCTCAGTGACTCCAGGCAATTTATAAAACCCCAGTACAAAACCAGCATTGCTTTTATTCATTTTTATCTTTCTTTTTAAAAGAAAAAGAATTTTAAAGGAAGTAAATTTGCTAGTAAAAATTATAGATGATACAGATAAAGAATTGGCATAAGCACTTAAGCCAGCCTTCTTCAATTTTCTGCTTTTCAGATGTAAAAATGTCATAATTCCCCAAATTCCCATCCAATATGAAATATCCACAAGAAACTTTTACATACATGCATTTATTCAATGATCTTCCAAAGCAAATAACAACATGTGTACAGAGTCTTAATAGTGTGATTCATCATTCTCATCCATCACCAATAATAAATTCAGTCAAGTGTAAACATATTTTGAGAAAGCAAATAGAGCACAGTGCAAATATCACAGGCTGCCTAACAGAAAGACTACTGGAAGCCATAATTCCTATCAGCAGTGCACACTGCAATTCAGTGGATGCAGGCTTCCTGTGAAAAAGTAACATCCAAAGACACAATTCTCTGCTTTATCAAATGAACTGAAACAGGACATGGTCTCAAACGGCGTTCTGTTCTGAGTAAGAAAATGTAATAATGTGTGTTCCCAGCAAGGTGGTTTTAGCAATAACCAGCTGGAAATTTTAAGTATGGACCATTAATTTCTAATGAGTGTTTTAAAAATAAGAAAAACAATTTAATGTGTGCACACGTAGTCCTGTGTTGTGCCTATATAATTGAAAACATTTGGCGGAAAATAAAAGCACCCTAAATCAAACCAAAGCTAAAACATTTAATACTTCCTTCCTGGCACTGTGGCATATCACAACACTACCACAGTGCTACTTTTTTAAAATACTTGGAACATAATCCCACCTTGCACCTCTCCTGACTCTTTAAACTGAGAGGAAGAGAGTTTCCTCTCCTGTTTACACTGTCCAGCTTGTTAGTTTGTAAGTGAGAGCATTCCTTAAGAAGTTGCCAGAAGATTTCACAGCTGTCGTGTAGAAAAAACTGAAACCTTTACTCCTCACAGAGGAACTGCCAAAACATCTCCATGAAACTTGAAAACTAAGCTATTAACCAATAGTTGTCACTATATAACTATGTCTTGGAAGTGGAAAAAAAGGTTGACGATACAAGCTACACTCAACCAACACTAAATGGTAAGAAGTGAATAATCCATATACTTACTGTTAGATGTCTCAAATGACTCAAATTTTACAGGCTGTATATAATTGACTAAGTTTGACATTTCCTCAGTAGCCATGGCCTCACTTCCAGCAGTTCCCTAGAACAGAATAAAACTAAAATTAATACCAGAACGCTTTTCAATGAGAGGGTTGAATGAGCTCAGGGGTGAAATGCTACCGGTTTGGGATAGTTTGCCCAAATGGGAGTGTAAGAAAATGCTTAAAAAGTTTTTTTTAAAGTTCTAACAATCAGCTGTGTGACAATCACTGGGTGCCACCTGATGGTTGGAACTTTTTAAAACTTTTTTTTTAGCATTTTTTTCCTACCGATCAGCTGTGCAACAATCAACTGTGCCCAATTGCCTGTGAGGTTCCTGCTTGTTGCAGGGGCCATTTTGCGTGAAGTCCAACTGCTTTTACATTGTGTGTGAGTCAGTTGTGCAGTCACGTCCACCCAGTCACATGACCATCAAGCCATGCCCACCTGGTCACATGACCACCAAGCAACTCCCACCAAGCCACACTCACAGAACTGGTAGAATTATTTTTTTTTGAATTTCACCACTGAATGAGCTTCTACAGGATTGAACAATTCTGCTCATCTCTTTTAAATGTTTCCATACCTCAAAGGCAGAGAAACACATCTAAATCCTAAAACTTGAAATATGAAACTTGAAACAAACACACCATCTAAAATATGATATAGAAGTACACATAACCAATTTCGTACAATGACAATAAAGATTATACTTATAAGCCAACCATTGGCACATGATGGCTCAGTGATTAGAATGTAGTACTGCAGGCTACTTCTGCTGACTACCAGCTGCCTGCAATTTGGCAGTTCGAATCTCATCAGGCTCAAGGTTGACACAGCCCTCCATCCTTTTGAGGAGGGTAAAATGAGGACCTAGATTGTTGGGGGCAATATGCTGATTCTGTAAACCACTTAGACAGGGGTGTAAAGGACTGTAAAGTGGTATATAAGTCTAAGTTCCATTGCTATTTTACTTACTCAGCTTTGTGGAGTTAATTCAGTTCCCTAAGCCAGGGTTCTTCAACCTGTGGGCCACAGTCTTTTCATAACCAGGCCATGTAACTGGCCGACTGGGGCGCGCACATGTGTGCATGCATAGCCCCACTTGAGTGAGCATAGTGGGGGCTTGTGGCCCCACTAGCAAGAGTGTCATAGGCGCTCGGGGCCTCATGCAAGCATCTTGGGCACATGCGGCCCTACTCACATGAGCGCTCGCAACCCCAGTCACACAAGCAACAGGTACTCAGACATGCACATGCTTCTCCCACAAAATGATCTCCTCTTTCCACATCCCCACCCCCTGCTCTGGACCACCAACCTGGAAAGAATGGAGAACTCTGCCCTAAGCTATATAACAGAGCATATATGGAGCAGCATCCCTACATATGTCAACATCTGCCCTCACTAAGGACCGAGCATCCTATTTCCAAAATAAAAACTCTATAGAAGATATTTACAAATGGTTGCTGATCATACTAAATTAGACAGGGCGACATGAATAAAGAAGTGGAATGTCTGGTTCGTGAATATCAACAGGAAGCCTTTTTGGCACCCATCTTTTCCATTACTCTAGATTTAAACAAGTATTCAGAAAAGTATGTGCATATTGGACTCTTATACAATATGCCTTTCTAAAAAAAGAAATGAACAGCTGTAACTGACTATTGAGAAAGTGGTCCATATGATCTGATTATGTGCTACAATAAGTTGTAGACAGAAATTATTTCATATATGAGTCTTGGAAGACTGGATTTTCCATTTCTTAAAAACATATATTTGGAGTTTGGAAATTAAGGGATGGATGATAGCAATGGATCCTGCATATTGTTATGGTAAAGGTAAAGGAGTCCCTGAAGATTTAACCTCACTAGTCATCAGCTATAGGGGATGGTGCTCATCTCCATTTCAATGATATAAAGCTAGCTCTGTCCAAAGACATTTCCATTGTCATATGGTCTGCCTGATGTCACAGAGCACCATTATCTTTCCACTGTAGAGGTACCTATTTATCTACTTGCATTTTCATGCTTTCGAATTGCTCAGTTGGGGTGAGGACGGGAGCTCATCCCATCATGTGGTGCTCAGTCTTGAACTTGGGCTGCTGGCTTTCCAGCTCACGAGCCCCGGATCTTAACCTTAACTGCTGAGCCACCGCACCACCAATTACAGTAATTTCTTTATTATGGTCTCAAAGAAATTACTGTAAGGCCAGAAGAAGATTCATTTAGCAACAGCTATAAAATGGTCTGAAGGACCTCATCTTGTTTTGTACTTTTGAACAAGCATGTGTCCAACAACATTTCAGTTACAATTTTACCTTTCTTATTTACTACTAAGTGAACTAACTTACATATAAATATTGTAATTCCATAACATTATGCTTGTGCATGTATCAGGGTAATTTCTAGCTCTCTTATCTTTGTCCCTCTCAAAAGACAGTGATCAAGACAAAGAGTAAGTTAATGGGTATTTTCATCTTATTGGAGCCAGACATTTTCTACATATGAATGGACAGGAGAACTAGATGTGGAGATGCCAGCAGAAGGCTAAAAATGCTTCAAATAATTTCACCTAAAACTGGAAATTTCTTACATACATTTTGGACCAGCAGTTAAAAAAAAAGCCATATGACTTAAGGTGGGTTTGGGTTCTTACTATCCACAAGATGGCAGTAGAATACTGAGTCATGCAGATAATTATGAAGACATCTTTCCAAGTCATACCAGGACAACTTATACTTCAAAATAATTCACTCCTTACTTCATCCATTGATGATTTTTTGCAGTCATCATCATAGTCATCATCCTCGTCACTCTCTATCTCTGCTTCACCTGCAATATTTTAATTGGCAAAGAGAAATCTTAATGGGAACATCAACCAACATTCACACATGTTTTTTTAAATAAACAAACCTTTGCTTCAGAGCAAATTCATTATTACAAGACTTACTGCACATGTTTTCCTCCCAAATTATTTATGAAGCAAACAACCGAAAACAATGCCTTCTATGACTAAAATAAGCGAGCAAACAAACAACCCCCCCCCAGCTTCATGACCCTCCTTGCCCCCCTTTTTTTTTTACTATTATGGAGATCGTTAGCTTAGGTTTTATTTTCCATGGATGATTGAAATGGTTTTTCACTTGTCTGAGATGTAAATGCAAATAATGTTTCCATTCTTCATAGCTTTATCACATCCACGCACAAATACACACATACATATACAATATATAGACACGGTATTATTCAACACACCCTAAAATTGATTTCACCCCCTGCTCATTTGTAGATACATCTTCAATCAGCCATGACTTATAGTGGACGTTAGTAAATCTCTTAGCAACACTGTTAGCCTTTTTTTTAAGGTGCTAGTCAGGCTCCTTATAATATGGCACAAGGCCAAGCTATAATAGCTACACCTTGCCACAGTTAATTCTGCCTGTCTGGTCTGGATGTGGTCTGCTAAGAGTCCCTTTTTCTGTTTGAGGTTTCTGGGTCTTGGGTTCATGATATGACCTCTTTTAATGCTTTTATGTTTAATGCTGGTCTGTTACTGTAATAAAAACAGATTGATTGAACTCTTGGTGGCAGTTTCTGTATTTCCAAAATATAGAAGTCAGATAGCTTCCTCCCCTTTTGTATTCAGGAAGATTTTATTTATTTACTTATTCATTCACGCTTTTGGCCGGTCGACCGTTCATTCAATTTCGATAGCTGTCCAACCTCAATCCTATTGACTGTGGATGGCAAACAACCTCACAATAATTAAAACCATAAAAAACCTACAATAGAAATGGAAAACCATAAAAAGTTAATGGAAATATTCCTTCTCCAACAAGCTTTCAGCTCTACTTGACTGGGTCGTGTACATTTCTCCTATATTTTTTAACTGGCTGTTATTTTACTTTTGTATTATTTCTTGACTGTTTCATTTTGTTGAACGGTATCCAGCCATAATATTAGGGCAACTAACAAATATGGCATATAAACAAACAAATAATATTTTCAAAATAGTCAATAATTAGTAGTGATAAAATGACAATAAAGCCACAACCTGCATACCCACTAAAATTCTGAAAGAGGAAAGTAACTCAAGAGTGATATGGAAGTGAAAAATACTGTGCCCGTTCATTTCTGGAATTCTGGAACACTATGGGAGGTGAGATTCCATGCTCTATCTGGTAGATCCAAGGCCTGCCCATTACTGGTATTCCTTTCTTTGTCCCCCTCTTCCTTTATAAATCTGAGAGTCATGGAAACATGTTGGTGTGGAATCAAAGTCATAAAAGTTCTATAATTGACTTCAAAGTCTGAGAGGAAGTGGAAAGAATTTGTGCAGTTCAAGGCAGTGGTGGGTTCCAGATCCTGTTGCATCTGGTATGGTGCAACGGGCCTGGGTGTCCACCACATGCATGTGCGCAGCATGCGCGCAGCATGCACATGCATACTTACCGCCCGTGATGCTCCGCGATGCTCCAGCTGCTCGGCGGAGCGTCACGCAGACGCTGTGTGCGGAAGCCACAATCGGCTCAAATACAGGTAAGGGCAACAGGCAGGTGGGTGGGCCCTCCAGAGCACCCATACCAGAACAGTACCTGGTGCTCCCAGCAGGCACCGGTATGCCCCAGTACGGTCATATCCCATCACTGATTCAAGGCCAAAACTTTCTGAAATAAAACTATATAGTTCTTCCCAATTCTCCTTCAGATAGACCCAACAGATTTATATCAAAAAGTTGCAGTGCATAGATTTCAGAAGAAATAATAAATGCAACCCAACATAAACTTGCTTTCCTGATCAATGTTATCAAAAGTTGTTATTTTATTTAGCAAACTCCTTGAGGTACATGATTGATGACAGACCTTAGTTATGTATGAGTGCTGGAATAGTAGTAGGCTTAAAGAGCCTGGCTGTTACTACACTTTACTTCCTGTTTTATTTGAAAGGTAGGATGAGATGGGGTGGGGTGGAGTAGAGTAGGTGTAGGGGTGGATAGAGCTGTTAATTTAAGTGTACCTTTATGAACTATCATCTGTACTTGGAGATTAAAGCTCTGTCCAGATATCTTCTGTTTATCCTGATCACTTTATCTATTCAATTAGTACAATGATTGACTACAACTATGCAAAGTGCTTTTATATTGAAACAGGTAATTGGCCTCCCTAGTCTGTTATTGTGGTGAACCCACAGCATTTGACATTCAAAGCATTTTTTTAGTCTTATGCTTAATATCTTTTCCCAAGTTAAAAGTAAAGCAGCTGGGATAAAATGATTTCTGACTTTGCAACTGTGCACTCCCACAGAAACACTTCATTTCAAATCAGGTGAAATGATAAAGGGATAGAAGGAAAAGCTTAGCTTAAGTTCCTTACAACAAAAGGACAACTGCATTCCTAAACTGATTATTGATATAGTGCTGCTGAATGGGTACTATGACATCTGCAACTATATACCTTCCAAAGAATCTGTTTCTCAGCAGAGATAAAGTAGCAATCAGGATAAAGGAATGACATCAAATATCTGTGATCATATCTTTAATTTATTTTTAAAATTCACACACCTTACATTCTAAGTATAGTAGTTCTGTTAAATGGGGAGGGAGTAAAATAAAAACCAAAACCAACATATTTCTTTGTCTGATGAAATGAGAATGCTATGAAGCAAGAAACCAAATTACTGGTCAAAAATGTTCCAAAATAATTTGATAAGGAAGCAAAAATAAATGGTATTTATTTTTCTGAGCAAATGAATTGCATGGACATGTCTCTTGGTATAGAAGACTTCATAAACCGAAACAGGCACTGTTCTGCCACTATAAGTGGGCAGCTCCTAGAGTTGATATTAAAAGCTGATTTTTTAAAAAAAAGCAAGCTTCTGAATGGATGCTAACAAGTGAGAACTTGAGAGCAATACTGATACAAATGACATGAAAAGAGGGATGCTGCTGTCATGGAAACAGACTGCAGGGAGTCAGACACACTGGCGTAAGGCTGGCAGGAATCATGAGGCTTGCATCTTAGCCTCCCTGGACTGCGCTCAGCCTAAATTGTGGGCAATAGCTACAGTTGGCACTGCCAATGTTTCACCTGGTATGTAGGGCTCTTACTTCCTCTTGAAAAGCACATTTGCTAACCCGCTCAAACATTTAAGACTATTCAAACTATGCCTAGTTTGTAAACAAAATTGTTTTATTTTGAAATAATATTAAAATACAAAGTAGGTTCGTGATATCTCTTTCAAGTTTTTAAACGCAATGAGAGCAAATGGGGAGCGTAGGAACTGCCTGCCCTCTCTGCATTGGGATGAGCACTTCCATAAGAGGATTTTAGACTAAGTAGCAGGGTGCTTGCTTTGCCTATGGAAAGTCCTTAACTCAGTCCTGGGAATCTCTACAAGGCTGCTTGTTAGTATTTAAAATATTAAGCAGACGAATCGATGGCTGGGCTTTAGAACAAGAAGCATCCCATTATTTTTACCTGCTCCCGGGGAGGAGGGTTCAAAGCCACTGGATGCGTCACTGCACGCATTTGAAGCTTGTTCTGAAAGCTTCTTCTTCGCGCTCCCATCTGCAGACTTCTGGGACTTCTTTTTGTTCTTCACCAGAATTTTGTACATCAGGTCCGCTGGGCTAGGAAGTGGGATTCCACGTTCGAGCTGATCGTAGAGATAAGGGTAGTTAAGAAACCTCTTTGAGAAGTATTACTTTTAATTTCCGTGTCTTTTAACAGAAAAAAAAATATTTAAACAAAGCCTATCTCATACACTTGTATTAATTATTTAAGATTATTGTTCTCTTTTAATGGCTGCTTTAGAATGCTTCCATAGATAGGTTCTAATCTCAATGTTTGCTGCCTGCTACATTTTCATTCTACTGCAACATACTACACATTTGTTCTAAGGTAAAGGTTCCCCTCGCACATATGTGCTAGTCGTTCCCAACTCTAGGGGGCGGTGCTCATCTCCATTTCAAAGTCGAAGAGCCAGCGCTGTCTGAAGATGTCTCCATGGTCATGTGGCTGGCATGACTAAACGCCGAAGGTGCATGCAAGCTGTTACCTTCCCACCAAAGGTGGCCCCTATTTTTATACTTGCATTTTTTACGTGCTTTTGAACTGTTAGATTGGCAGAAGCTGGGACAAGTAACGGGAGCTCACTCCGTTACACAATACTAGAGATTCGAACCACCGAACTGCCAATCTTTCTGATTGACAAGCTCAGCGTTTCAGCCACTGAGCCACCGTGTCACCAACACATTTGTTCTACATACATACAATAATACTATATGCCTTCCACACCATTAGCAGTGATACTTTTCCATCTTTAATTCTGATAGAAAGTCCTGTATTTGAACCTCTAATGGGAGCAGATATTCACTGAATCATTGAATGGGATACCATTATTATCACTCTTGTTCAATAAACTGCCTTAACCTTAAAAATGTAATTTCTGTGTAAATGTTTTATTTCCATTTCATTTCGTACAGTCACATATATACTGTGCATAACCGGGGCATATAACATTGAACAATAAACACAGCCCTCCCTCTTGTCAACAATACCCCCCAAAATACAAACCCAATATACCACTTCGACCCACCATACACCCTTTATTTCGCCCCCCTCCAACTTTCATGTAATTTCAACATACAAAATATGTGCTGTGCTATATGGATTCCTCTATAAAATATGAGTTGCATAGTCATGATGATTCCAAATAAAAAGCTTTAGCTTTTTAATTTCCTTTTCTCGGTGTCTTTAAAGCACATCTTATAAGCATGTGGTACTACTGCTTTTACCCAGCTCTATGCTATTTATCTCCTGGGAGAAAAGACAATTTAACCTGTTTTTCTGTCTGTGGTCACTTTATGTTTCTAATGATTCCCCCCCCCCCCTGTCTTCAGATGGTGCTCTAGATCATAAGTGAATGAAAATCCCTGCTAATGCACCTTGTTAATGTAGGATAATACATGAACATAAGTACAGAACAGGATTTTAAAATTATATAGTAGAATTTCCTGCTACCATTTTAGATAATTTTAAAGAGGGACTAAACAGGTGCATAGAAGATAGGGCTACCTAGAGTTTACTAATCCTGGTGGCTGTCTGTTAACTTCATATCAGGGGGAACATACCACAGATATCAGTTATGGAGTAACCAGGGAGGAAATCTATTCCCTCTCTATCAATAAATGTGGCCTTTGTGAAGGGATATGGTTGATCACTTTGTGTAAACAGAATGCTAGGTTGGATTACTGATTTAGCAGGGCCATTCCTACTATTTATTAACAGCCCTCTCATCGTTACTGTACAACGAATATTTGAGCAGCAAGAAAAAGACTGGATTCCATAAATCTTAAGTGACTACATAGCACAAGATCCCTTGTATATGCGAGATACCACAAACAACTCACTTGTCAATGGCACAAAATAATTGTTTCACCAGAATGTATGATTTTTTTAAAAAAATCTTTAGTATCCTAGTAAATACCACTTGCTGTTGTTATACCTCTCTGGCTTTATGTGTTTGATTCCACCTGGGACACAAAACTACTCAACCACCAAAAAACAATTTAAATTACATTGAAGCATTTTTGCTGGAGCAGCTTACAAAGAAGATTATAATCTTTGTTAAGCTTTCACAGGTAGACTTGGTATGGATAGGATAAGGTTAAGAGACTGCTTAGGAATGAATTCAAATCCTCAAAACAAAACAAAACAAAAAAAAAACCGAATGTACCTTCTTACAGTTTTGATACAATTATTTTGGTTCTCAACCCAAATAAATAATATTTTGGGAAATGAACTCTACTTTACAGCAAAGTAAAACAACTAAAAAAGATTCCATTTATAAGTCCCTGCTACATTTTTTTCTTGTGAACTCATACATTTTACAAGAGGGGTATGTGCTTCAAATATATTTCAAACATATATTCCCTTCAACTCTCAATTGCCTAAAATTAAATAAATAAATAAACCAGATATTCCCCATGAATAAAGAAATTCATTAAGTTGGAAGATAGGAAGGAACCACAGACACTTAAAACTTCTACATCAAATATTACTTGATGTAGTGAAATAGTCAACAAAGCTAAATAAATAAAAAGGTACTTACTGGGTATTTTTCTAGTGGTTCCATCAGCAAGCCATCTCCAAATATTAATCTGCAATATTCTGCCATTTTTGCCTGCTGTTTAGGGCTAAAAATGAAAGAAATTGTTAAATTAAATAAGGCTTTTTTATAATGCTAGAAATGGAGGACATAATACCCTTAACTAGATGAAGAGGTGTAATTTTCTGATCCTATCATTCTAAATTGTACTTGGTGATCTAAAGTCATTACACTATTAATCTGAGTCAACAACAGCCTTCTTGCCACATGTTTACATTAATCAGCACAATACAGGTTCTCATTTGCAGTTTGTTATTAATAATGATAAAAGGAAAAAAATGAACTTGCTTCATATACATTAAAAAAAACTCGATGTGCTTAAGAGAATTCAGAAAATTATTGTCACATTACTGTTAAAAATATTCATATTGATCTACTTCCACTAGAAATATTCATGCAAAAGAGCTACATTACAATTTAACACGTATTTCTTTACCTGTAGCAAAAATCTACAACACTCAAATATTATTGATGGATCTTATCTATTGCAACCTGCTGGAAGATGGCATTGCATTCAATTGCCAGCACTGGAAAACTAGATTCTTCCTTTTCTCTTTGGCAAAATGGATTCCCCCATCCCCAATATATTAAGTCATTTACTAGTGCACTTTATATGCTGCTCAGTTCCAAAATGACTCTAAGTATCTTACAAATAGTACGAAGTAGAAAGAATTAAATGGGGGGGGGGGAGGAGGAGGAAGAACCATACTACCCTGTTTCCCCGAAAATAAGTTCTCCCCTGATAATAAGCCCAAATGTGCTTTTAAGCGCATGCGCTAAAATAAGCCCTCCCCTGAAAATATTGCAGCACAGCAGCAGTCATGAGGTGACCATGCTCGCCACCTCCTGCACCTCAAAATTAATAAGACCTCCCAAAAATAAAAATAATAGTGCTTTTTTCGCGGGTGAGTGGGTGGATGTCAAAAGAAAATGAGACCCTGTCTAATTTTCAGGTAAAAACCATACCAACAATTAACATGCAGGGAAACTGCTAGCAGCAACCTATTGCAGGGAGGGACTCCCCAAAGACTTTTTTTTGACCAGGGGAGAGAGTAAAAGAAACTTCTGCTTCATGAGTAGAAATCATCCATATAGGAAACTGCACATCACTGACAAAAATATATATATTTATACAAATGTCTAAATTACTTACGAATCCACATGATTCTCAAAAGATAGGAGTATAGGGAAAGGAGATGTCTTAAATGCACATTCAGCAATAGCTTCTATAACTTCCTAGAAAGGAAAACAAAACACACATTTTTCCTTGAGAAAAGAAATTATTTAACACACAAACATAAAGTGGTTTTGACAGTTCCCCTGACCCACACTCAGGATTTTATAATTCTTAAAAGAACAAGGCATTTCCAGCACCATTAAGTTTGTCTCAGTGTGACCTGCCTTCTAATCTTCAAGCCCAGTAAAATGCTGCTGGCATGTGAAGAATAAACAGTAGCTTGTATTTAGAAATGTGTTTTCGCCGGGCTCACAAGAGTATTCCTAAAGCTTCACTTTTAGAGATTTTTGCGTAATAAAATAGTTATGTTGATTTTATTTATATGTTGATTTTATTTATATTTATTTTATGTATTGCCAGGTAACCTTTATTGTATTTGAAAGCAAGATTTCTTTTCAGTACCATTAAATTACCACTCTTTAGACTTATATCTGAGTATAATAAATTCTTGGGTATCTGACAGAACAAAAGAAAACTAATGCATGTTAAAACTGCAATTTGTTTCATTTTGGCTGTATAAACCCAGACACTACAGTTGGTAGTATATGTGTGAATCTACTTAGTGACTGCTGACTGCTCTTTAGAAGGTCAAATCCTGAAGATGAAACTCAAATACTTTGGCCACCTAATGAGAAGGAAGGAGAGCCTAATGCTGGGAAAGATTGAGGGCAAAAGAAGAAGCGGACGACAGAGAATGAGGTGGCTGGGTGGAGTCACTGAAGCAGTAGGTGTGAGCTTAAATGGACTCTGGGGGATGGTAGAGGACAGGAAGGCCTGGAGGAATGTTGTCCATGGGGTTGCAATGGGTGGGTCACGACTTCACAACTAACAACAACTTAGTGATGTACTCAATATACTAGGACAATAACAAAATCTGCTGTAGCATAAGGAGGAAAATCCAGCAGATGATAAAAAAAAAATCTTTTAAAGATACTTCTACCCCTGATTCAGTAGTGGGATTCAAATAATTTAACAACTGGCCCTCTGGCCTAATGACCAGGTGGCTAGGTGGGGCTTAGTGGTCATGTGACCATGTGGGCGTGGCCAACTCAACTCAGGTTGATGGGCACTTTGCCTTAGCTGTTACAATGTAATAAGGGTTAACCGGAGAGGCAGTTTCTGTAAGCAGGGCAATAAAGATTAAGCTGGAAACAACACCAGAATGTTTCCTTCCTGCCTTCCTTACAGGATTAGCCCTGTAAAGTGGAAAAAAACCAAAAGAAGATTTCTTCCAACAGCCGGTTCTCTGAACCTCTTAGAAAGTTAAGAACCGGTTCTCCCGAATAGGTGCGAACTGGCTGAATCCCACCACTGGTGAAGACCTATATTTCCACCCAAGTCCTTGGCAGGGGAGAGTGATCGTCTTTATCTTTATCTTATCTCTTTATCGTCCCCTATTTTCTTTTAACTATTTTTATTCTTTATCGGTTTTATTGTAATTTTCTTTTTTGATTGTTGTGAGCTACCAGAGTCATTGTCAATTGGTTCACTAGTTTTTGCAGCAAATGTGATCACTACTGGCCTGGCACTACAGATAAAAAAATCACAACTGTTTCATTATTTATTATTTATTTTAGCATATATATATATATATATATGGTTTTGGTCATGCTTTCCTTTTTTATTGTGTTTTTGATATTGATGGTAATTTTT